GATGCACTTAGCAAAGAGATGCACTCATAAAAGGCACGTCTGATCTTGTCCTAGATACCAGGTTTTATGTGTCTCATCTGCAAAGCCTACGCTGTCATACTGTCCGAATCAAAGTGCATTGGCGATGTCTTCATAGATGACAGTATGAGTTTAAAGATGAAAGAAAGGCTGCAGCATAGATTCGTTTCCTTTGACTTAGAGTTAAACTTGTTGTTTTTTTAAAATTGAGATCATGTTGTTTAGCTGCCGTAAACAAAAAGATAAACTCTCTGCTGATGATAATGGCTTCATTTTCCCACACTAGGTTTCAGTGTTAGAGATGAGCTTGCTGATGATTAGCACTGTTCCAAGGATCGTAGCATAAACTTTGCGGCAATTAAAGAGAGGCTGTTAAAAATAAAAACACCTCCAGACGAAATAAAATAAAGAGAGTCTGTCAGTAAATACTGATTGTGCTGGTGACTGTGGTTACTGGGTGCGCACAGCCTCTTTCCTGCGCTTACGGAGTTTCTCACCCAGAAGGCACGAGAGATGTCAGACTTGTAGAGAGCGGATAACCCTAGGTAGCCGTAAGCACAGACTATCCATTCGTCTCACGGAACGTCCCTTGGGTGTACGTTTGCAGCGAGGTGGTCCTGGCGGGGTCTCAGGGCTGTCTTCCTAAAGTCAGATGGTTGGCAGGGACAGAGGTTCTAATGGTTAAGGCAGCCAGTTGGTAAGAACCAGCCTTCACCCCAGAGGTCCGAAATCATCTGTTCCACGACGCCTGGTGCACCAGACTTCTTTTTCTTTTACTAATAGAAGTAATTTATATTCATGGTTGAAACATAATCTAATAGTCTTCTAACATTTCTCCTGTTTTCTCAAGTGCAAATCAGTTTCTGATGTAACCCTTTGGGTTACATCTTTTTAATCCATCTTTTTAATCTTTTTATCCATTTAGTGATTGGAGTAAATGCTGTCTGTCTCCTAGAGAGCATAGACAGATTCTTACAAGTATTACAAATCTTGAAAAATAGCAGCACAGCAAGCATTCCTCTGTGAATTCACCACGTTTATTATTCATCCCTAAATGATTTTTTTCTTCATTTTTTGATACTGAGCATAGTGCCAAATTTATTTTTTTGTGCACCAGTGCAAATATAATACCTAGCTCTGGAATTGCTGGATCCCTGAGTATGCTTCTTGTAATTTTTAATAGGCATGGTTCAACTTGCCATCCTGTTTATCCTCTTACCAGCAGTTTCTTAGGACACTTGTTACCTGGGGTCTGGGGGACACTAGGTTTACTCAAGCTTTTTCATTTTTCCTATACATAAGAATTACCATGTGGTTTTGTTTTGATTTGCCCACTGAATTATATTGAGACAGAAATTTGTTTGTGCTTGGAATGGGCTTTACAAGAAACGGTCTAGTTAATAATGCATTTTCTTCATCTTGCCTCTAAAAATAATAGAGAGTAATGACTTAACATTTTGTCTTTCTTTCAAAGGGTAATATGATCCATGGGAGGAATTTTAGGTGATTTTCTTTGTGCACACAGGTCGAAGCGTGTAGGTTGTATAGCAAGTTCTCTGCCCGGCCAAGCAGCATAGAAGCGATTCCCTCTGTTATTGAGAAGGTACAGTATTTAATATAAGCTCATGTAGTCACTACTTTCTCTTTGGTTGCTGATATCTTTACTCTCAATAAAATGCGTGACAATTAGAAACATGCCCAGGCAGTTAAAAATGACATTGTCAAACAGCTGAGTCAGTTTGATTGTCACGGCCACTCCATTTAATTTTAGAAACAGGTAAAATATGGTATGTATATATTTTTATAAGTTTTTCCTTGCTTTAATTTTCTAGATTATTTTTTAAATTATCTAAAAGGCAAAGTATAATGAATCCCTGTTTACTGTCTTTTTTCTTTGGTAACTGGGGCAAACGCACATAACTCCCCCTCTTAGTTGGCTGAACAGCAGATTTATCTTGGTTAATTAACATTATATGTGAAATTATATTCCAGCTGTGTCAAAACCATGAGTGACAGAAACACATGACAGCACCACAGTTTCTGGAAACTCTGAGAGTGCACGTTACACAGTACAGATCGGCAGGCAGATTAAAGTGCAATGGCAAATGGACTCTAACATCCTAAGTCTTCTCTTGCTGATCTCTTTCCTTGTAAACAAAAGTATCTTTACAAATACATAGAATCAATAGAGGGTATTTAAGTTTTTAAAAATTGCATAGACC